TCGCCTGCCTGGTCCACGGCCAGCATCACGCAGAGACAGAAGTTGGCAGCTCAGCAAAACAAGATCCTGAGGATAGCAGCAAAGGCTCCCTACTATGTCAGAAACACCACTCTGTGGCGAGACCCAAAGACAGGATAGAACCCTGATAAAATTAGCTGAATGCAAGCAGGAATAAAATATTAAATAAATGACTCATTCTAACCGAGTTTTTTACGGGCGTCACCGTCAGGGGCGCTAGACGTATATTCAAAATTTATCATTTCAGTTTCAATTTTAAGAGGGGATGTTATGTGATTTCTCTTCGCTCGGTCACCCTGCTCTATTTATTCCTCGTCCCTTCCCCATGGGCTCACTCAGACTGACATGCGCGTACCCATTCTTTTGGGAACGCAACCCCGCCATCTGTGATTCGTCCGTTGAAGATAAATTGTCCGGCACTTCCGGCAGAGGTTTGATTTGAGAGAAAACTATGGGCTGAATTCCATTTTCCAATCCATGCTCCATTTCTCGATCTTGACGAGGTGTCTTACTGTGAGTGAGGGCTACATCGTCTGCGTATATGTAGCTCATCCGTAGCGTATCCGTTGCTTTTGTCATTGGAATGTCTGCCATGTAGATGTTGAACAACAGGGAACCCAACACGGACCCCTGAGGTACTCCTGACATTATCGTTCTGATCGTTGACATCTGATCATCGGCTTTGACTTGGAAGCAGCGTCCAGACAAGTAGCTGCGGATTAGCTGGATTTGGTGCTCAGGAAACCCTGCCTTGATCATCTTGGCAATTAGGCCCTGACGCCAAACCGTCAAATGCCTTTGCCATATTCAGGAAGACGGCTCCTAGATCGCGTCGGCGGATTAACTGCTGCAGGATTCTTTTTGTTGGCCGGGCGGTGACAGTGTTTGTGCCGTGTCCCGGCCTCAACCCATGTTGCTCATCCAGCAGCACTTGCTTCTCCTCTATTGTATCCTGTAGGTGGTTCAGGATACACCTCTCCATGACCTTGCTCAGTGTTCCAGAGTTCGCTTCTTGACTCATCAGCCTCTATTTTGTCCATGCGATCCTCCCAGAGTTGCGATCGAAGGATTTTCATGTCTTCCTTGATTGTATTCTGGAGGCGATTGGCTTGTCTCTTCAGGTGTGGGTCTTGCGTTCGCATGGCTCTCTATCTTATCCAATTTTTCTCCCTGATTTTGGCTTTTAACCAGGGAGGAATTCTCTCCATTTGGGCTATCGGAACTAAGGATAGACATGTTGAAGTTGCCAGGGCGTTTTTAATATCCCTGGTGAGTCTTTTGGTTGCCTGGTCCAGGTGTTCCTTTGTTGTGGGCTGATGGATCCTACTGGTGCTTTCCAATGTTCTCTGGAGAGCCTGCCAGTTAGTGATCCTTCTAGTCGTAGTGGAGCTGTTGAAGTTATTTGGTCCAATTTGCATGAGAATCGGCAAATGGTCCGAAGATAGTTCCTGGAGTACTTCGGGGCTGGACAGTCTTCCTGCGTTCTTCTACAGGAATATGTCAAGGATGTAATCTCTGCCATTATGGGCGACGTGGGTTGGCTCTAGAGTTGCGGCTATCTCAAACATTGCATTTCTGGCTTTGTTCGATAGCATGATGCCTCTAGGAGTGTTGTGGTTACATCCCCAATTGGTGTTTTTGGCATTGAAGTCCCCGCCATGTATTGTTGGCCTGTCATCTGAGAAAAGCTTTCGAACATCCTCGGGACTCAAAGTAGCGCTTGGACTGACGTATACGGACCCGACTCTGATCTCCAACTTCTCCATTTGGATGGCTACCATGGATTCCTCCAGACGTATCGACGGTTTGACGATCTCGTGGTGCTGGATGGACCTCTTCACTGCTACTAGTGTGCCTCAGTCCCTGGTGGGCCTATCATCTCTGTGTATCTTGTGGTTCGGAAGTGTGAACCTTTCTCCAGGCTTCAGTAGTGTTTCTTGGATTAGGCACACATCCACGTTGTGTTTCTCCAGGAAGTCTTGGATTTCTAATTTC